CATGCAAAAAGAACCACGTGCATCTGCCTGGAGATAAGCAGCCATATGTGCTTGAAATGCATTTGATGGGAGACAGTATATTTCATGTGCTGCATCTCAGCTATTGTTTTTTGGTTGATTCAGTTAACATGTTCTAAAATTGGACTGATTTACTGAAGATTTGCAAACATAATTCATGTGCACTTGCACTATGAATAAGCCTCTAAAACTAATTCAAGCACAGTCAAAAAATAAATTGCAAAATAAGTTATTCAATTGAAATCTGCCATCTGAGGCACTGTAATAGAAAACATTTATTATAAAACTAACATATATTTGTGGCTAGAGATGTGTTCAGTACTAAACATCTCTTTGTGAGGAATTTATTCAGGCTTTTCTGAAAGAACATGTTAACTGGGCTAACAGAAAATTACATGTTCAAAAATAATTGCAGGTTCTATGATTTTCATCCTGCATCACAGGCTTCCCATTTTCACTCCTTTTGTTTTGGCAGGCTTATGAATTTCAGGCAAACTTTTTTTCTGTACAGCTGCAGAAGCACATTTCTGTAGTCTGGATTTGTGATTTAAACACTGGAAAGACATAGGTAGGATGTGTGGCACAAGGAGCAGAAGCGTTGATACCAACACATTAATCTTGAAATGCAATGCTCTAAATTTGGCAAATTCACTTCACAGAGCTGCAAAAGTCATAGGCTATGCTACACTGGAGGCCTCAATCCACTCAAAAGCACTGTTTCCTCTTCAAAAGTGAGGGTATTTTGCCTGTTCAGCCTTTCATTAGTGCTCAAGGGGAGCTCTTTGAAATGAGTACATGTCTGTAATTAATAATAATAGTCAGGTCTAAATGAGTGTGTCTGACATTAGTGTCAGTCATTGATAGGTTCAATTCAGGCAGATAAAGATTTTCACACAATACAGTGGAATAGATAATTTGAATTTTTAAAATTTTTTGCATTCCCTCCTCTCCAAGGACAGATAATGAAAGTCCTGAAAAGGAACATCCCTGTCCAGATTTCTCAGTTATTGGGGAAGAGGATTGGGAATAGACAGTGAAAAGAAAGACAAAGGCTGGAAGACAAGGGGGAAAGGTCAGACTATTTCTAATCAGGATTTTTTTTTCACTGAACCTTGGAACATTTGGTATTGCTACCACCAGCAATGGGTAAAATTCTACCCTGTTTCTAGCCAGTCCTTGTGCCTCAGTGCTGAAGACAGAGCTGAGGGAGGGGACTCAGGCCAGCTCCATCCACTGCAGTCATCTGACAGTGTCACAATCCAAATGGAAAGGGGGAAACTTGCCCCTCCTTGAACAGAAAATTCCATAGTTCAGTGGATGGTTCTAAGCACATATTTGCGAAAAAAAATCAGCACTACCACAGAATCAAATTTTTACCCCTCTTATTGCATCCTTCTACAGCTGTGTTAGTAATAATAGCAGCTGTTTTAAAAGTGTTTTGATTCAGAGCTCATGCATCTGCAATACAAAGTGCACCACATTACTTCCACAGTACCTGTGTTCTGGGTAACAATGCTTTTAAAAAGTCATATGGCTAATTGGATACCATTCCAAACTGCTTCCAGCAATTTTACAAGTGGCTTCTAGCAGAAATTTTCAGTAACTTTTTTTTATTTTTTTATTTAACAGTTTTCAATTAACATAATCTATAAAGTCTTAATGAGTTCATTTTCTGAATAGGTGCTGAATATGAGACATGCATCAAAATCTCTCGCTTGAGTTATGCTAAAGTTTTCCCCTATTCTGTCTTTTCTTTCTCCAGAGTGGGTGAAGAAGACTAGGAAAATATGCCAAGTCAGCTGTTAAGCTCCTTAAGAACTCTCAAATGACCTTGTCAGGAAAAAACCCAACTCTTTGATTCATATTTCAAAATCCTAACCTGCCCCTTCTGCTCTTCTGCTTTCTTGTTTCTGTAATGTGACAGAACTGAGTTCAATATTAATGACCAGCAATCATTTCCAGCTACAAACTCTGCTGCCTTCTGCAGTCCAAGTGCCTCGTTAGCTCAGCTCTGTGGGTAAGATGCTCACTTTTGTACTGGTTTCTCCTGGGTTAAAGATGAATAGAAAGCTGGGCTGGTAGCTCAGCTAAAAATGACCTCTGATCACTCAAGTTCCCTCTGAGTTGCAGTTGAACCATTCAGGTTGACTTCCCTTGAACAGGTCTGTTATCCAAAGATACCTCTTGTCACTCCCTAGAGGTGGTTTCAGTGAAAGCCATGAATGCTTTTTTTTACAAAAGAAGGTATTTCTTTTCTTGAGAAAAACACTCAGGTATTTCTCTTCACACTGCAAGCAGAAAGCAGACAGCTTGATTACACTGCTATTGTTTTTCAATGCACAATTAAATAATTCATCCTGCTGAATAAAGCCAGCTTTTTGTTACAAAAGAATACAGAGTTCATTGGATGAAGTAGACTTCCTTAAAATATGCAAATGAGGTACAAGCCTGGAAGCAGAACTCTGCTGATTTTCAAAACCTCTGATTACTGTTGGTTTTTAAATCTGTTAAATATATGGAATCCTCCAGCTGCCTTTGTGGGATCCCTCTGGCAGGTACTTCCTGCCTTCAGTTACTTCCAACCCTGCTCTCCCAGCTCTCTCACTCTGGCTCCACATGAAGACTTCACAAGCAGAATATTCAAGAAGAATTTTAGATTTAGAATGGAGAAGTAGATTTTTAATATTAAATATTAAATTTTAATATTAAAACCTTGTAAATCTGTCCCAAAAAGTTAGTGTTTGCACAAAAGAGCTTCAGCTTGGTGATGCTAGACTTAAATTTTCTATAAAATCCCAAATCTGTTTTCATTCACCCATTGGAGAAGTTTTTTTTCTCTTCAGTAACTAGGAAGAATCTTGGTCTTGTGAGGTTAAAAGAAGCCTTTGGGATAGCTCTCAAAATAACAGTTGTGAGGCGAGAACACAGAGCTGCTACTGAATTCTCAGGAGCAAGCTAGGGCTCCTCACCACAGGATCTGCACAAGCTCTCCGGATATCAGAATCCCAAAGAATATAAAATGAAAGCTTTCCTATCTTCAAAACCATACAAAAGCATAAGGGGCATTTAAACTCCCCCAAAAATGGGAAAAATACCAGAGCAGGGAGAATGGAAAAGGAAAAACAGATTAAACAATTGTCTTGCTGCACATGCTGCATAAAAGAGCTGGGACAAATTCTTCTGACTATTCTTTTTCCTCTCTGTGGAAAATTACAGAAATTAAAGCTCTGGTGGCAACATCTGGGAAAGAGAAAGCTTCCCTTCCTCCCTCCCTTCATCTCAGCAGTTTCTATTTTAATGCCACTCCCTCTATATACACATAAATATATCATGTATACATTTATACACATATATACACCTATATGCATATATAAACTAGTCTTGTCAGCATCTGACTCATAGGGCCCAACAGAACAACATGATTTCTCTTCATTTTTTGGGTGACAACACTGGAATCAATGACTAAAGACTCACATGCTCTGTGTATATAACTAAACTAATCAACAGTTTTAAAACATTTTTTTTTGTGCAATAAATCTCTTTAGAAACGTTTGAGTGGCTATTTTTAATGTCCTAGTCAGGGCAAACTGTCTGTCAAAAAGAATGATCTACTGGTCAAATAAAATCCATTTGTAAGATTTAAGTGAGAAAAAAAGCAGTGCACAGATCTTTGTGCAGGGCAGAGCACTCAGCTCAGACTGCATCCCTCAGTCTGCATTCTGCTTCCTGACCAGAGATATCCACAGTGTCAGAGAAACTCTATGCTGAAAAAGAAACTATTGTTTTCTTTATAAAGAGACAGAAATCTTCAACAGACACCGACATATCCCTTCAAGGTATCCATGTGTGACTTTAGATTCTCTACAAGCATTCCTGGTTTTGCCCAGAGTCAGACATCTCAGTAACACAATAAACAGGACAGTTTTAAAGCATGTCAGCTGAAAATCTCCCTGCAATACTTTGCCAGGATTTACCTTTTTGTTTTTCCTCTTGGGAAGACAGAGGGTCACAAGGCCTCTGAAAGTGATAGGAGCATAAGTTCCATTTGAAGTCAATAGGATTTGTAATCCTAAATCCCTCAAATGCTTTTGAAAACCTCTGTGGATATGTGTCTTGACAAAAGCATCAACTTTGCCTTTCCTTTGACACTGAAGTTCCATTTCCCTAAAGACAGAGTATCTACACTCTTAAGCTCTAACCCCAATGATATTCCTGTGAGCTACAGACAATACAAGGAACATGCTTGGCAATGAAATACAGATTAGATGTAAAGTGAAATTTTCAAAAGCACCTTCAGAGACTTCCAATAAGTATTTTCTTCCTAAACACTTGAGTAATTTTGAATTTCTTTTTCCTGGTATGGATGTTGTGTCCAGTGCTATCCTGGACACAATTAGATTGGGCTTTTTCCCTATCCTTTAGTGGCTGCCCTGGAAATATTTTAAGTACTGCCATAACTTAAACACTCACCAAGACAAAGTGCAAAATATCATTTACAGAGCCTGCACCTGGAACAGCAGCATACACACAACACCATTTCCTTTTTAAAATCAGCCCTGAAATTCATGCATACAGCTGGTTTTAAAGAATTGGCCCCTTGAGTGCTAGAAAATGCAGTGGTTACATTTACAACATTAATTTAGCAAAGCCTTTAACATGAAAGAAAATGAATGTGAAGATCCCTGTTTTAAATTGCATGTTAAACCACGATTCATGGTTACAGAGAATCTCTTTGAGCACACATTTCATCATTGAATATAAAGTGGAATGGATGGGGATTAAAAAACATGGTGAAAAAATACCAAGATGAGTCAAACTCTTCTACATAAAGCACCTCAAGCTGTGCCTAAATTGGGAATGAGATGTAAGCATGAATATAGCTCTCCACTAATGCACGGGACAGACAGAGGAAGAGAGGCATAAAGCATATGGGGATATCACAAAATAGCAGACAACAACCACAAAATGTGTACTAAGTTTACCTTGATCAAATGGCTTGTTTGGATTCCAGTTTCTGAAATAATCATCCTAAATGTGAATAAAAAAAAAAAAAAAAGAAATTTCAGGAAAAATACAATCAGTGTTTTCAGTACTATTTCACACAACTAAATGAATCAATTTGTGTGTTGATTCTAACAGATTTAGCTCCAATCAGATGACTATCAACAGGTTGCATCCTAGAGAGTGGTTAATGCAGGTTAGAAATTAAAGAATGAAGAATTCAGCACCTTGAGTTTTTCTTCTGGATTGTTTTTGAAAGCATGCCCATTATTAAGTGTTTTTGAAAGCATGCCCACTATTAAGTGTTTTATAATAACTCTGTATTATTTCATGTTAGTCTACAATCTTTGACAAGAAAACATATTGTTCAGGTAGTATAACATGATCCACACCATCCTGGTGTGGTGAAAGGTCAGCAAAGTAAATTCAAAGATACATCCATTTGGACACATGTAAATCCCACCATTGTGAACATATAGAAATTCAGAAGTAATATTGCAAACATTATATCAAATAGTACATCAACTTCCAGGAGCACTCACTGTGAATATTTTTGTCACTGTTCCCCCTATTAAACTTATTGCAAACTAGTCTCTCTGTAGACAGAATGGAAAACTCTTCCACGTGTTGGATCAATCTGTATCCTGTGTACTTAGCAAATATTTATCTGAAGTTTTCCCTGCTTCAGAGTGCCATCAACCCTAGTGATGAAGAATTGGGAGTTAAGCCCAACTGATGTATCAGCTTCAGCATATTCTGCATCTCAGTTGTGTCCTCTTTGAGAGGACATGGTAACAACAGAATTATCTATTTGAGGTGAGGAAGCATAGAAAATTTCTACAACACTGTCATTTTTTTCTGCATATTCATCTTTGCTTCCTTTTTAATATATCCAGTATTCTATACTCATTTCCTGAGGGATGCCACTAAAGAGATGTATTCATCAAGCTGTCCAGAATGACACCAAGATTTCTTTTTCCTGCCAGGTCGGTAAATAAAAACCTATCTGTGTGAATAATACATCTAAGTTATTTCTTTTGTAGGGCTTTGTTTATCTCCAGTACACTGAATTTCACATGCTCTCATGCTATCCAGTCACCCTAACCTGGAATATTTTGGAGATTTGGAAGTCAGCATGACCTTATGGGTTCAGGACAGGCTGTTACAGGAGGAAGGACTCCAGAGCCTCAGTGAACACCAGAAGATTCACTTCATGTTCCTTCCAGAACACCATGGACAGCATAGAGACCATGGATTGTTCTGCTGCTCTGGAACAGGCAAGCACAGGCAAATGCTGGCTTAGATCAAATTATTCTGCATGACTAGCAAGAAGAAATGTATATTTTTTTTAAGCAACATGTTCATGCTCAGTGTCATACCGACTTCATGGACAGCGATAATGTTCCACAATAACAGCAAAGATTAGTACCCATAATTTATTTCAGATACATCAAAAGTATCCATATTTTTTTCTTCACAAGTACAGGGTTTGGCACCAGAAATAAAATCACAGGCTTGCCTTTGAATTTCACAGCTTTGCTAATACAAAAACCCCCTCATGGTTATACAATGCTTTGTAACTGATGATGATGTACTGCTAAATTCACCAAGCATTAATCACTTTTCAGAATGTGTTGGGTTTTCAGCTTTTATAGCAGAATTTTTTTCAACAACAAAATATTCTTTTTTGCCTGCTTACATTTTTTTCCAAGGTGTTGCTTTGCTGCTGGGTTTTCAGCATCAGAAACTGTTAAATAATTCAACTCCCAACAAGGATTTCTTATGCTGGTGGCATATGGAACCAGTTTTGAAAGAAGGATTGGAAAGGGGGTTTATCTCAATTTCAGTGTCAAAGGAATATTTTACAAAAAAGTCACCTTCCTCACAAAAATACCTACAACACAGCTATCTCTTCTGTAGATCTATTATTCTTCCTCTTCTCCTTCATGCAGACCCGTTTAGTATTCCATTTTGAAAATTGAAATTATGTTTATTTTAGAATGTGCCTGAAACTAGTGTGATAACATAGAAAATACACAAGGAAAAATATGGGAAAAAAACCCCTAAAAGGTGAAATAGAGAAAACCTTTGAGATTTTCAAAATATAAAGCCCATTATAATTTATAGGGGTAAATACTGACTATAGTTACATTAGAGCAGTGCAGTCAATAGCAGTACAAAGTAACTTATGCCAGTTGGACAACTGTCCTGGTTTCAGCTGGGATAGAATTAATTTTCCTCTTAGCAGCTGGTACAGCACTGATTTAGGATGAGAATAATGTTAATAACAGACTGATATTTTAGTTGTTGCTGAGGAGTGTTTACTCCAAGCCAAAGACTTTTCAGTTTCCCAGGTTTTTCAGGGAGAAGCCAGGAGGAAGAATGGCCAGGAAGAGAGACCCAAACTGGCCAAAGGGATATTCCACACCTTAAAGCCCAGAATATAAACTGGGGTGAGTTACCTGGGGGCAGATGGTCAGTACCAGTGGACCAGCTGGGCACTGCTCAGCAGGTGGTGAAAATTGTACTGGGCATTACTTGTCTTTCTTATGGTTTATTTATTTTAAGAGACATATTCATGTCTGCAATAATAATAAATAAATAATAATAATAAATATTAATAAATAAAATGCTGTTCTTATCACAAATCATGGGGTTTACCTTTTTTCCCCCCCTCAGCTCTCCTCCCTATGCCACCCAGGTAATGGGGAGGGTGAGTTGGGTGGTACCTGGATTAAAGCACAACAACACAAAATACAGCACCAGGGCTTCACTTCAGCATCGACACCAGCAACAACTGAGACTGAAGGGTTATGGCACCATAAAGGTGAAACTCACCCTGTAGATATGGTGAGCAGAAAATCTGTGTCACATTTAAATATACCCTTCAAGCTCTGACTCAGAAACAGACAGGGCTTTGTGCCAGTACTCAGGAAGGGGCTGAGATTTATAACAATATCCTCAAATGACTTTTGTTGGAAGGTGGAACTCTGGTTGTCATTGAAGGAGAATCATCATTTCACTGTGACTTCTTCCAACAGAGAAGAAGTACATATATATTTATATATATATACATATATATAAAATATGAAAAAATACAATCAACTTGATTTAAGAGATTTAAATTTCCCATTCAGTGAAACACCTTCCTGACAGAAAGACATCTGTGCATTTCTGAGCATTCTACTAAGGTTGATACTAAAACATCCCTTATGCCTTCTGTAACAATGAAAGTTATGCAATTTTCATATTAACATGTTAACTAATCAATATTCACACATTAATAATTAACATGTATCAATGCATTTCATTTGTAACAATATTAACAGCTGATCAGAAGAGTTTAAAATATAGAATGAATTATGATATATTGTGAATATTTTTATTCACTCTATGGATATTTACAAGTTAAAATTGAGAAACCTACCTCAACTTCCTGAACACGTAAGCATTACAAATGAGAAAAGAAAAAAGAATTAAATAAAGCAATACAAAATTAGGTTAACATTCATCAATTTTCTCCTTAGTAGCCTTTTAAATGTGAAATCACTTATTTCAGATGACCTTCACCCCCAAATGAAACAATTTTCTCTCTTTCTTTTCTGCCTTTTCCACCTCTGCTGCCATGACCCAGTTTTTATCTGCTGCACTATTAGCCAAATGCCATTTTACTAACATGTTTCTTTCCTGTAAGGCATCAAAAAAGGCTTTTTCATTCCCTTTTGGCAGGCAAAACCACCATAAAGTGTTTTTCCACACAGTCATCTGTACACACCTGGTATAACAGAGACATAATTTAGGTTTTTTCCTAGCTGACTTTAAAGACTCTATTGGATGGACTTTGAAAGCAATGCAAAACCAGGCACAAGGCCACTTCAGTGCAGCAGGTGACAGCAACTGAGAAATATTTTTGATGAACAAATATTTGAAAATATCTGTCTTGCATAGAATTCACACTTTGAAGGTTTTGCCTATGGTTCAGTGATTGCATATGACTAAGTTGATCTTTTAATTAACTGTAGGGACTCTGCACACCTAAAATCATGCATGAAAAGAGAAGATCTGATACTTCAATCCAAGGCTGTATCAGAGACCCTTAGCTCAACTCAGTGTTAAAGGAAAGTGATGTGTTGGCTTGGCCTCTGCAACTGGCTCCGTATGGACTCTGAATCTCACATCACAGCTTAAATATTCCACTTCCAATTACAGGAAAAGAAATTCAACTCCTGTCAAACCAGGCTCAATGCAATTTTTGAGGAAATCTAGAATTCTGTTCTCTTCTCACTAGGGGTGGGGTAAGGCCTTTAGCAAGATTATTTTCTGCCCCCTTTATAAGGTTTATTGCCTGCCTGAGGTGGGCAACAGCCTGGGGAGGCAAGGCAGGGAGCCCAGGGGCCCCTCACACAGAAAGACTTGGGACAGGAGCTTCCTTTTCAGTTCTGTGTCTGTTCACCACTGAGCATAATGGAACCCGTCCAGATTTTACCCTCGGATTTAGGAATCAGTTGTGACCAAAACAAATGAAAAAAAAAATCATAAAAGCAAATAGAAATTTCTAGACTTGGGCCTCAGTTCTTCATTGCATTTTTATTATGTTGATCTGAGCAATCAAGAGATTAGGGCAAACACATTTTCACAGAATCACAGAGTTGGAAGGGACTGCCAAGAATCATCAAGTTCAACTCTTAAGCAAATGGCCCAAACGGGGATCAAAACAGTGACCATGGCATCACTAGCACCATGTTCTGAAGTCCATTTCACCACATCATGTAGAATAAATTGTTGTTTCTTAAGAAGACCAAAATTATCCATTATCATTCAATAAGTCAAATCCAGCCAACTTAGATTGATGTGCTATCAACAAAGTCAATCAAGAGAATATTCATATCTTAAAATAAGTATGCAAAGGGCATGTCAAAAACACTAACTTAACACTTCACAAAAAGTCAGAACAATCAGAACTTTCAAAAATCTCATTCATCAGAACCCTAAGATTCATCAGAATTCATAGACTGTGCTCTGATTTG